TTTTGAAATTATTAATTTTCAAATTGGTTCAGATAATATATTGACACTTTGTATAATTGTGGCTCAATTAACCGTGTAATTTAAGCTATAACGTATCAACGAGATATTTTAAGCAAAATCAAAATTATTATGAAACTTTTTATTGATATCTAGTTATTTAAAGAACAAAGCAATAACAACAAGTAGAAAAATGGCAATAAAATACAATACAAAACCGTGCAAACTATAATGAAAATTTTAAAACTGTGAGGCAGAATTATGGTTTAAAAAGAATGATAAGCATCGTTTCAATTTTTATATTTCGTGCGAATAAAAACACTAAAACTATTTTTTCATAAGGCTAAAATCAAAAGTGGGTGAGAAAAAGAATGAATACTGTCGATATTAAATACAGTGTTTTGCTGACAAATAAATGTATTGCACATGCGCTACGCAATTGCACATATACCATCATTCAATTAAAAAATGAAGAGCTGTTCTGTTCACCAGTTGTCACATGTGTTCTTGAAGTTTTGTTTTGACCTTCCTTTATTTTTATCTTCAAATCTATTCACTTGGTTTACCTGAATTGATAAACATGTCAAACGATAGAATGCAACTTTATTTCTACAGCACTGGAGTTGATATTGCGCGAAGAGTTTGTGTTTAATTCTGACTCTGTCTGTTTGATCATTTCTTTATACGAGTTATTATATAGTTAACACTGAAGTTTGTTAAACTCAAGAACACGAGCTACAGCGATTTGTTTGCAAGAAAAGAATTATGAAACGTTTTTCATTCTTCCAACGAAAAGTAAGTTATTTAAAGCTTATCAGACGTATTTCATTAAGGAAATATTTAGAAAATGACAAATATCATTTTTATGCATATTATATAAGAAAATGCAGTTGTGACTTAATAACGTTATGTATCGCTTCATGACATACTGATTTACAGTTACAATATATAAACAAAAAGGAGGTGAAAATTATATATATACTTGAAGAATATGATTATATATGAATATATGCGTATATACGAAATACGTATTTTTGCATATCGATTAAATGATACAGTGTTATCATACAGTGTTTTATAATCATTCATCTCTATCATGCTTTTGTATATAGTTTGTTTTGATAACTTTTATTAACTCTCATATTATTAAATATAATATTTGGAAGATGTTTTGGATTTCTGACCGAAGAATTTCATACCTCAGCACACGAAGAATTAGGGTTCTCAATGGTTTGTTGTCAAATTTAAGAAATTTAATAAAATGCAAATAGCATAATTGGCTTGAGTATAAAAACTGAAAATTCAAACTCAAAGCCTATTGCACTATTAATAATATTCGCATATCAGCATGTAACAAAATTAATTCATTGCTTATATATGACGACTACAAGCTAAAAATTAAATTAACAAAATTTGTATGGTCTGCATTCAGGTCATATAGATAATTAAAAGTTTTTAATTAAAGTGGCATAAAATCAAAATTAGAAAACAAACTGCTCTTCGATGTAGAGATCTAGGCAATTTGACCACAGTAGTGGCTACACTGTAGTGAGGCAATACTTATTAATCATGTGGCCAAATAATATTAGAAACATATAATACATTGGATTTTGGAGTTTCCTACAAACTCCTTCACCTCACTGCAAAATAAATAAATAAATCGAACTTTAACCTAAGTCAACAAATTTCTAGTTAATATTAACGATTGATATTAGTTTAGATATGATCTCATTTAAATAAAAATTCTGGGAGTAACTGTTAGAAATATTCGTTTAAGATGTGCATACATTCAGATTTTAGTATTATAATATTTAGCATTGTAGTTCGCAATACTCTGAACTAAACTATATATATTATTGCAGTAAATTTCTGTGAGATTAAAAATGACATGAAACTAATTATTCTGAGTGAATAATTTCAATATGTAAATTTATTTGTCAACAACTCTCACTAAGAAAAAACAAAACAAATAAACTCAGGTTCCGAAAACAGACTAGCTTGTCAAGTTATAATTCACTTCCACTTTCAAATATGTACCATATGTAGCACGACAATGTCAAGTTATAATTCACTTCCACTTTCAAATATGTACCTTATGTAGCGAGACAAGGTCAAGTTATAGTTCACTTCCACTTTCAAATATATACCATATGTAGCACGACAATGTCATGTTATAATTCACTTCCACTTTCAAATATATACCATATGTAGCAAGACAAGGTCAAGTTATAATTCACTTCCTCTTTCAAATATATACTATATGTAGCAAGACAATGTTAAGTTATAATTCACTTCCAATTTCAAATATATACCATATTTAGCAAGACATTGTCAAGTTATAATTCACTTCCCAGTGCCACAGCGGAATGTCTGCAGTCTTACAACTCCACAAACCAAGTTTCGATATCCATGGTAGGCAGAGCACACATAGCTCATTGTGTAGCTTTGTGTTTAACTTCAAACACAACAAAAACCAAAGAACTTGTGAGTCACTTGAAGAAAATGTGAAAAAAAAATATTATCAATGTTGTATTTAACCCCATATAATTAATAGTGAGGTCCCGTATGTGTATTATGTAGAATATGAGAGATTTCGCACAATTGTATTTTGTAATTTTTTTCAAACTAAGCGTTGTAACAGATAAAAACAGAAAATAATTAATATGATCCAATATGCTGAGCCCACCGGTAGTGATTGGTTTAGAAACAAGTTCATAATTTGAAGCTCATTCACTACTGTAGATATAATAATTATATTTGTAACACTTAGTTCTGTTGACTCAGTTAATTTGAATAGCACATATATGTTGTATAACATCTGCTATCAGAGATCGTTCTACGGTCTCACTATTTTTCTGGGAGGGTGGGAGTGAGTATTTTGGGGCACCTGGATCGGTTGTATATTAAACAGCTGGTGTCTTTTTTCAGTTAATGAACCAACTCAGCAGACACAGGCGAGACTATATTATGTCGTCAAGAAAATAATGTCGCGTTTTGGGACATTTTCATCAACCACTCCCCAAAAAATGTACATCACGTATAATAGTTAAACGAACCGCCTAAACGTCACATTAGTGTAGCCTATATAATGTGTAAAGTTTACTCTAATCTCTTATAGTAATGGCACACGACGAAACACACAGTCGGCATTTGAATACAGAAAAGGTTCCTCATTGTTTTAAAACTATTGTTGCGTCAGGGGGTCACGTGACTATTGGCACGCCACCTATTTTCCAGAAGTATCTTGTTCCTTCGTGAATGCCCTAGCATTTACTAGATATGTGTTTTTCTGGTATATAAATAAGACGCTCACAATGTGAGGGGATAATGTGTGCGTGTAGACAGTGAGTAATTGATCTGCAGTCACAGAGTATTATTGAGCACGTTCGTTGTTATAGCGTTTGTTTTAACGCGATTGTTGAAATTAAGTGTATCGTAAAGTTATATTCGGAAAGAATAAACCAGTTTTATTAAATAAGGACTTGTGTCGCTAAAGTTTCGTCGGAACGAAGTTACGGAAAGTTAATTAACAAACGGAGACGTAACACTATTGTGGTTTGTTAATATAATTGTAATCTGTGGGTAGATAGGAATTACTACATGTTAACAAACAAATCGACCCTATTACCGTAATTCAATTAATTAAAAATCACTTCACTCATCTTTGGTGTAACAGTAATCATTAGTCATCTAGTCACATAACCAAGTTAACGCAACACACGTCGGGACAGTGGTAATGCTTCGATAAATTTGTACAGAAATCTCCTACTGTGTAACAGTGGGGCAGCCATGGTCTAGTAATTACTAGTTAGCTTGCTGAGCTGAGTTCTAGAAGAACCAAGGTTTAATCAAGCCCATGATATGCCATGGAGACAGCTTCACACTTTCATTTCTAAGTGTTATAAAAGTGGCAGCCAGTTCCGTTATTCGGTTAGTTTCTTGTAGGCAGCGGACAATTGTGAATGGCTGCCTTCCCTCTGATCAGCATACCAACATTTGGCATGGCTAATTGACTAGTCCTGAACCTTGTGGTCCCTGACCTGACCGTTTAGCCAATGTGTTGCATAAGGTGCCGTTAATTTTGAAATCACCAAAGTGCAACAGTCACCTTAAGTTAGCTAGTCACATAACTTAGTTCAGATGAACAGTATTCGATTGTGAGGTAATAGTGGTCACCGGTCAGGTAGTTATATAAAATACATTTAACATGAGCATCATTCGTCTGCTGTAAGACAATGGACATAAACTAGGTAACATGTGCAGAATCTCTCTGTATGACAATTGTTATTTTCAGGTGTTTCCTGTATCGTGTTGTGAGTCATTGGGTTTGTTAGGAGCGAATATATATTTATACATGTTGCTGTATACGTTGTGCTTTAGAAGTGATAGATTGTAAATACCGATATGTAGAAGCTAGTAAGTTTTTACCTTAAAATTGAAATAAAAGCGACGGATTCAGTTGTTATTCTATAATTATATTCCATTGTCAATTGGAACATAGTGGCATAATACATAAGGCAGAATGGACAAGTACTCCACACTTTTTCTAGCTGAGGTACAAACACTATTATCAGTAATTATGTTCGATTAACTTAGCTTTTCCAACAAAGATTTTCCTCAATTTCCAACAAAGTTAGTTAATCATGATTTGGAGATCAATTTCCTTCGTCTTGATCATTTTCATCTGGAAAAAAAAGTAAAATATAAATCTACGCTGACTTCGATGAAACTGAAAACTTGCTCTGGCATTCTAAGCAAAAGTAATACACCAACAAATGCTGCCTTCATCCTAGAATTGACTTATCTTGAAGATGGTTGATCTTTTTTTTGGGGGGGGGGGAGCAGTTTTTCTACATATGATTTTAGAATTTACTGGTATCTCTTTGCCGCAGAACACAGGAAGTGGATATCCGGAGCAGAGCCGGAAGAATATACCATTTTCAGTGATGCGTGTCATGGGTTGGGTGTAGTGTTCTGCATTAAACATTATAAGCCGAAGTTAGTGTCTTTTGTCCTATCTTGCATAACAGAGCAAGTTTTATGAGTACAAATAACAATCAGTTACAAAATGTGTACACATACATGTGTCTAGCACATCGAGTGCTTCGTAAGACACGTCCATTATGGTTAGCTGTTGGCCAGAACTACACAAAATCCCACGGTCGACGAGATTAAAATTCCATCTAGGGACCGAATATCAAGTAAGTTATCAAGCAATGAGTGACTAGTGTTAACATTATGTGCTTTTTATCTTCAATTTTCCAAATTTGAATGAAGATAGATACATTTATATAAATTTGGATTAGGTTGGTGTGATCAAATACAGGAAGAAATATAAATTTTCAAGGTTTGATTGTAGTATTAAATTTTTGATCTGTATTTATTCTTATTGATCAGTGTTTGCAGGTAATTTCTTCTGTGTGTGTGTTTTTATGGCAAAGCCACATTGGGCTAAGTGCTGTGTCCATCGAGGGGAATCTAACCCCTTATTTTAGAGTTGTAAATCTGTAGACTTACCGCTGTCCCACCGGGGGACAGGTAATTTCTTACTTTAATTTTTAAATTTCATATTTAAAACTGTTTTAGCTGTGGTGATTTTAAAACTCGTCAAGGGGGACATGAAATTTATTACTTTAATTTTTAAATTCCATATTTAAAACTATTTTAGCTGTGGTAATTTTAAAACTCGTCAAGGGGACAGGTAATTTCTTTCTTTAATTTTTAAATTTCATATTTAAAACTGTTTTAGCTGTGGTGATTTTAAAACTCGTCAAGGGGACAGGTAATTTCTTTCTTTAATTTTTAAATTTCATATTTAAAATTGTTTTAGCTGTGGTGATTTTAAAACTCGTCAAGTTGCAGTTTCTTTTTCAGAATAATTATATCAGTTCGTGTGAAGATGTATCACGTGACTGATTTATTTCACTTTGTATTCGGAGAGTTCATAAAGGTTTTGCCGTTACCGCGCTTGCAAGTATCGTATTTATTTTTATTTTTAATTATATATCATTTTGTGTTGAGTTCAAAAATAATTTGTTGCTCATTGCAATTAACTATAGCTTTGTTTGTGTTCCAGAATTTCGCGTAAAGCTACATATAGACTACGAGCCTGGAACTGTCCATAACTTTGACTAATTGAATAGTGGGATTTGACCGTCCAGTTATAGCATACACACGGCCCCAAAGATCTGAGCGCATTTTTTTACAGTAACAGGCCGAGAATCATGAATCTTCTGATTTTGCATGCAAGATAATAAGCCACGCCTAGCCCATGCTGAATAAAAAAAAAGATTGGTTTGTTATAGATTTCGCGCAAAGCTACACGAGGGCTAACTGCGCTAGCCGTCCCTAATTTAGCAGTGTAAGACTAGAGGGAAGGCAGCTAGTCATCACCACCCACCGCCAACTCTTGGGCTACTCTTTTGCCAACGACTAGTGTGATTGACCGTCACATTATAACGCCCCCACGGCTGAAAGGGCGAGCATGTTTGGTGTGACGGGGATTCGAACCCGCGACTCTCAGATTGCGAGTCAAGCACCCTAACCACCTGGCCATGCCGGGCCAAAAAAGAAAAAAAGGAAGAACAAGCTAACAGATAACGTAAAATAATTTGCCGTAGATAACTAAAGCGTAATTTTTGTCAAAGGCGGCTAAGGTTTGTTTGTTTGTTGAATTTCGAGCAAAGCTGCTCGACGGTTATCTATGCTATCTGTCCTTAATGTAGAATTCAGTCTAGAGGGAAGGCAACTATTCAACGCCACCCACTGCCAACTCTTGAGCTACTCTTTGCCAACGAATGGTGAGATTAACCATCACATTATAATGCCTTGGCAGCTGAAAAGGCGAGAATGTTCGGTAATAGGTTTTGATCCCGCAATTCGCAGATTGTGAGTCGAGCACTCTAACCACTTATCCATACCAGGCCGTTTTGCTTATGGGTATTTATTTTACTTGATATTCCGAAGATATTGTTGCATTGGACTATTGGAGTACTACAGAAACAACATAAAGTTTTCCATAAAAGGATTCGTTCGGAAAATGGGGAAGATGACATGTACTCAACTTGTAAAGAAATTATATTATTTAATCATTCAGTTCTAATCAAAGGTTCTTTCAAGGAACACTAAACTTGATAAAGAGAGCGTCATAAATGCACATTTCACTATTTACCGATGAAAAGGTTTTGACTTCTAGTATTATCTTTACAATAAACACCATCAGTTAATCTAATATCTGTTGTTTTACGATTTTCTTGTATTTTAAACTAACATTAAGCTTTATATTTTAAAATATATAATTCGGGTAATGGTAATTTTACCAAACGTAAATTTTACTTTATTGAACAAAAATGCTGCTGTACATAGCTTACTTTCATGGGTTTTAAAGATACAAGATTTGTGATCAATAGAAATATCGCTTTTGTTTAGTGAGCTCATCAATAAATATAACACATGAAATAGCTACAAATGTACGTAAATTTATGAACTGAAGCGTTGGATCTGGATTGTGATTTGGTCGTGTCGTTATGCATGACTTGGGAGGATCAGGTACTTTTCACACCTCTTCTTCCCTCTCTCACTGTTATGAAATTAGCGTACATCAAACAGTACACTGATTCTATCTTCCCCTGTTTTCTGGGTCATTATCAAGTTCGCATTTGACATTTAATAAACCCTTTTAAATACGCATATAATAATGTAATCGTAGCGATATATTACTGTCTATTGCAGGTGGACTTTCTTAATGTACATATTAAGTGTGAGAGATTCCTGGTACTATCATCACCATGTATGATATAATGTTCTATAGAAGTTAGTAAATCGTTCTTATACATATTTCATCCAAATACTTGAACGAACAATCTAGGTGTCTCTGTCACGGACTGGTTGTATATTTGCATATTTATGCATGAAACCAGAATTTGTTGATTTTGGAACTCTAAAAGCTTTCGTAATTATTGAATTTTGTATTGTTTTTTTATATTTAGTTAAATTTATTGGTGCTGGAAATTCATATTCTATTACTGGGCGTATATACCATTATTTTTACACGACAGTCTCCTAGCGTAGTTTGGTCGTTGGCATACTTTATTTGTAATTCGTTTTATATGATTTTTCCATATTAATTTCTAAACATAAGTTAAACCAAGAAATTTTGCTGATGTAGCGGTATTTAAAAAGAGTTCCATTTAGGTGTAATTCAGGTTTCTGATTACATATTTTTTTCTCTCTTTTTTTTAAATACTAACATATTTGTTTTTGGTACATTTATGTTAATTCTTTTCTTTTGATAATATTGTACTATTTCATTTAGAACCGGTTGTAAATTTGTTGCTGCTATTGAGGGAGCTGTGGAACTCTTCCAAATTACTACATCATCTGTAATTTGAGATGTTAGGCAAAAATTTGAGTCGATTAACAGCATATCGCTTATATCATGATAGGGCTAACTACCCCTCCCTGAGTCGGAGTTCTCCACATTCACTCTACATTTCCTATGATTTAAGAAGTTGGATTACCAGCGAATAACATCGGTCAATAATTCCATTTGCTTCATTTTGTACCGAAGTCCATTATGCTATAGAGAGGTGAAATGCTTTCTCGATATCGAAAAAGCAGGCGACAATGCATTCATTTGTTTTGATTAAAGCTATCTATTATGGTTTCAGTTAGTCTAACTAGATTATCCGTAGTTTGCCGAAATTTTCTGAAACCGTTTTGCATTCAGGTAATTTTGACGTTATCTCTAAGAATGTTGAAAGTATATTACTAATTATTCTTTCTAAAATTTTACCTTTACAACTTGTTAAACTAATTTGTCTATACCTCTCTAGTTTACCCTCTTCTAGAAACATAAGAACGTTTGCTTGCTTCCAAGAGGCTTGGATATAACATGAATTTAGGGATAGGTTAAATAATGCTGTTAAATGATCTAACAGTATCTGAGTGCCGATTTGTAAGTTAATAGCATATTATCTTCGCCTGGTACTTTGTTTTTAGTATTTTTAACGCAGATGATTACTTCTGTTTTAGTGATTAGTTTTGTTAATTCATTTGCCAAAAGGTTATCATTTGTTTGTTGTTGATTTTAAAGGTTAAAAATTTCAGCCGTGAAAACTGGGGCGTAAAAATGTTTGTTTTGTCCAATATACTTATTTACTGTATCAAATAGTGGCTCTTTGTATCTGGTTCATCGTGTGTTTTAAATGTTTTTCTTAACTGAATAAATAGAGTTGTTTAACAACAAGTAAAAGCTCGGAATGATCTATTCTTTCATTGGGGTGTCTGTCTGTGAGCCAGACTAGTTTCGGAGAATTCCACTCCTCATCAGTGACCCTGGACACTACCACCAATGAAATATCAACACAACACAACATCAGCGCTATTTCATTCCGATCCCGGGAGGACCGGTGGGCCGGTAGAGGGTTAAGCCCTCTCGTCAGCCAAGGGGCGAAAAAAGAAAAATGGGTCAAATGAATAATAGATGGGTAAGCGTGTAAGTCATCACAGGAGGCGGAAAATGGGGAAAATGCGATATTTGCAGATGGAGGAGACAATCCGGAGAAACATGGGTGAACACTAACCAGTCTATATCATATAATGGAGATTGTGTTGGAACTGGCAACAGGTATATCGAGTATTATGAATCAGGATAGATAAATGGGGGAAGAAGAGACATCGGAATCTCGACGTGGGTCGGGATTGTCAGCTGGGAGGGACATGACATAGAGGTTCAGTAGGTGATCAGCTGGTGCAAAAATGCTTCACGGAGTGGGTACAGTGGTGGCGAGAACATCGGAGAAGATGAGATTGTGGTCACGAAAACATTTATTAACATAACGAGTGCGAAGCTGTCGAAGGTGTAATAGAATGTGAGGAAAGTTGATATGGCGATAAAGGTCGGGAGTAGGACTAGGGAGTTTGACGCCAAAGGCGAGCCAGAAGGCATGGCGCTCCAAAACCTGGAGACGAGAGTGGAAGGGCAGAGAAGCAGATATCCAGGCTTTATGTCCATAGGTTAAGCAGGGTCTGATAAATGTCTTGTATGTGTATAGCAGAAGAGGAGGGTTCAGGCCCCAGAAGGTGCCGGTGAGAGAACGGAGGTGATGAAGACGTCGAGTAACCTTAGCAGAAAGGGCAAATAGGTATGGCTTTTAAGTAAGATGGCTATCAAAGACAATGCCTAGATAGGTCACGGAGT